ACAATGGGTTCAAGTATAACAATGATTGTGAACATGGCGCAGGACCGGGCAGTGTTTCATTCTGTGGTGCATAGGGTCGCTATGAGTCAGAACTGACTTGATGACACCTAACAACAACATACGTGTGGACCTCTCCAGATGGAATACACAGGAACAAATCGACTACATCTGTGGAAAGAGATGATGGAAAAGCTCAATATCATCAGTCAGAACAAAGACAGGGGCCGATTGCAGAATAGACCATCAATTGCTCATACGCAAGTTTAAGCTGAAGTTGAAGAAAATTAGAACAAGCCCACGAGAGCCAAAGTATGACCTTGAGTAAATTCCACCTGAATTTAGAGAATATCTCAACAAATAGATGTGATACATTGAACACTAATGACCTAAAGACCAGATGAGTTGTGGAATGACATCAAAGACATACATGAAGAAAGCAAGAAGTCATTAAAAACACAGGAAAGAAAGAAAAAAGACCAAAATGGATGTCAGCAGAGACTCTAAAACTTGCTTTTGAATGTAGGGTAGCTAAGGCAAAAGAAAGAAATGATTAAGTGAAATAGCTGAACAGAAGATTTCAAAGGGGGGCTCAAGAAGAAAAAGTAAAGTATTATAATGAAATGTGCAAAGACCTAGAGTTAGAAAACCAAAAGGGAAGAACACCATCGGCATTTCTCAAGCTGAATGAATTGAAGGGAAAATTCAAGCTTCAAGTTGCAATATTGAAGGATTCTATGGGGAAAATATTAAATGACGCAGGAAGCATCAGCAGGAGATAGAAGGAATACACAGAGTCACTGTACCAAAAAGAATTAGTCAAGATTCAGCCATGTCAGGAGGTAGCATATGATCAAGAACTGATGGTATTAAAGGAAGAAGTCCAAGCTGTACTGAAGGCTTTGGCAGAAAACAAGCCCCCAGGAATTGACGAAATACCAATTGAAATGTTTCAATAAACAAATGTAGCACTGGAAGCGCTCACTTGGCTATGCCAAGAAATTTGGAAGACGGCTACCTGGCCAACTGACTGGAAGAGATCCATATTTGTGCCCATTCCAAAGAACTGAACGTGGAAATTATCGAACAATATCATTAATATCATACACAAGTAAAATTTTGCTGAAGATCATTCAAAAGTGGTTACATCAGTACATCATCAGGGAACTGCCAGAAATTCAAGCTGGATTCAGAAGAGGACATGGAATGAGAGATATTGCTGATGTCAGATGGATCTTGGCTGAAAGCAGAGAACACCAGAAAGATGTTTAGCTGTTTTTATTGACTACGAAAAGGCATTCGACTGTGTGGATCATAACAAGTTATGGATAACATTGCGAAGAATGGGAATTCCAGAACACTCAATTGTGCTCATGAGGAACATGTACATAGATAAAGAGGCGGTCATTTGAACAGAACAAGGGGATACTGCGTGGTTTAAAGTCAGGAAAGGTGTGTGTCAGGGTTGTATCCTTTCACTATACTTATTCAATCTGTATGCTGAACAAATAATCCGAGAAGCTGGACTATATAAAGAAGAATGGGGCATCAGGATTGGAGGAAGATTCATTAACAACCCGTGTTATGCAGATGACACAACCTTGCTTGCTGAAAGTGAAGAAGACTTGAAGCACTTACTGATGAAGATCAGAGACCACAGCCTTCGGTATGGATTACACCTCAACATAAAGAAAACAAAAACTGGACCAATAAGCAACCTGATGATAAACGGAGAAAAGATTGAAGTTGTCAGGGATTTCATTTTACTTGGATCCATAACCAACGCCATAGAAGCAGCAGTCAAGAGATCAGACGATGCATTGCATAGGGCAAATCCTCCGTAAAAGATGTCTTTAAAGTGTTAAAAAGCAAAGATGTCACTTTGAGGACTAAGATAAGCCTGACCCAAGTCATGGTGTTTTCAGTCGCCTCATATGCATGGGAAAGCTGGACAGTGAATAAGGAAGACAGAAGAATAATTGATGCCTTTGAATTATGATGTTGGTGAAGAACACTGAATATACTGTGGACTTCCAGAAGAATGAAAAAAATCTGTCTTGGAAGAAGTACAGCCAGAATGCTCCTTAGAAGGAAGAATGGCAAGACTTCATCTCACATACTTTGGGCATGTTATGAGGAGGGACCAGTCCCTGGAGAAGGACATCATGCTTGGTAAAGTAGAGGGTCAGTGAAAAAGTGGAAGACCCTCAATGAAATGGATTGACACAGTGGCTGCAACAATGGGCTCAAGCATAACGATGATGGTAAGGACGGCACAAGACTGGGCAGTGTTTTGTTCTCTTTTACGTAGGGTTGCTATAAGTTGGAACCTACTTGACGACACCTAACAACAACCACAACAACAACAGCAAGAATCATTTGCTTCTTCAACTAGAGAGGACCTTAAAGATCACTCAGTCTAAACTTGTTTTATAGCCCAGTCCCAGGTAGAAGATGTGACTTGACATGTTCACGTGAGCCAGGATCATGATGGACTCAGGCCTTTTGCTTCACTCTAGTGTTTTTCCGTTTTAGTTTGAGCTTTGAGCTTCAGTCAAGCAAAGTTACCTGCTTCCTCTTGTAGGCTGCTTCTGCTTAACCTCTCCTCCTTTAACGCGGGAACGTGTGATTACAACTAGAATAAAATGATGCTTACATAGGAACTGAGTATGGGAGCAAGGTCAAAGAAGAGCAGATGGTTGATTTATGAAGAGTTTGTATCGTTGCCTCTTGATAATTCAGTTGGTAGCCTTTGTGCTGCAGCATCCATCACAGGAAATACTTCCTACCCAGAGTATACCTCCTGCTCTGCAGAATGCTGTCAGATCGTTATCTGTTCAGTTCTGACAACCTCTCTAGGAGGCAAGCAGGTAGACAGGCAGCCGATATGTATCTTTACAGCTGAACAAGAAGCTTTGAATATCATTCTCTTACCTTCCACATCTCACTTAGTAACCACGTGTTAGCCATTCTACCGTCTAAATGTTTATTTCCACTCCATCTCCATTCATTGCCTTGGTTCAGACTCTTATCAGTGTTTGCCTGAACTATTTCAAAGGCTTCCCCAGAAGGCAGAAGGGGAGTAGGAAGCTGATGATAGGGAACACAAAGTAGAGTAAGGATATTGTTGATGTGTTGTGAGATTGTTAACCATTGTCATAGGGCAACATTTGTAGTAACTGTTAAATGGGAGACTATTTTGTCCTGTAAGCCTTCATCTTAAGTGAGAATAACAGCACAATTAGAAGAGCGTAGTCAACGTCACTTAAATGTGTATGTAAAAAAAAAATTTTGAAATGGCGTATCTTTGGCTATGTGTATTTTCACAAAAAAAAAAAAAAAAGTTGAGAATTTAGAGGGTTAAAATGTTGTGGGGTTGTTAATCAATGTCATAAAACAGCATGTGTGTTACTGTTACATGAGAAACTATCTGTTCTGTAAGCCTTCACCTGAAGTACAATAAAATATTAAAAAAAAAAAAAAAAAGGCTTCTAATGAGTCTCCCACCTTTCTCTCTCCTCTCTGTTTCTTCTTCCACATTGATGCCAGAGGATCTTCCTAAAATCTAAGTCCAATTCTCTCTTTCTTTCTTAAAATCCTCTACTTTTTATCCATCATGCATCAAGCTCCTTAGTGTGACTTACTAAGCCCACCGCCATCTGTGCCCTGGCAGCCTCTTTAGTGTCATTTCCTGCCACCGTCTACCTTACACTTTGTGGTCCAGCATCATCATACTTTATTGGTTCACATCTCCGTGACTTTGCATATGCTGTTAGTTCTGCCTGGGATGCCCTCCCTCACTTATATATCTAGGAAACTTCTATTCATCTTCAAACCCAAACTCAAACTTCCCTAACCATGCCTCTCCCTACTCCATTATCCCTCTCTACCCCGTCCGTAGAATTAAACACTTTCTACTCTCTGCCACTTCCAACCCTTGTAATACTTCTATTGTTGTACTTATACTACATTATAAATGTATTTATTTAAATGTCACATATGCCTTCCTGAACCCACTGTGAGTTTTTCAAAGGTATTGGCTTTTTAAATTTTTTATTTAGTTAGATGTTGTTGTTGTTGTACTTCTACATGTACAATTCAGTGACATTGATTACATTCTTTAAGTTGTGCAACCATTCTCATCTTCCTTTTCTAAGTTGTTCCTCCCCCGTTAACATAAACTCACTGCCCCCTAAGGTTCCTATCTAATCTTTTGAGTTGCTGTTGTCAGTTTGATCCCATATAGATACTTCTTAAAAGAGCATAATGCTAAAGGCAGACATTTTTTACTAAAGTTAAGCTAAGCTATCGTTTGGTTTTTAAGAGAAGGGTATTGGCTTTGATTCATCTTTGAATTTCCATCACTCAACATAAGGCCTGGAATATAAAAGCTATTAAATATACATATTTAACTGAGATATAATTGGCATTCCATAAGTTTACCCTTTTAAAATACACTCAGTGGTTTTTGTATATTCACAAGGTTTTGAAACCATCACTACTATCTAATTCCAGAACCATCCCAAAATGAAGCTCCATACCCATTAGTAATAAATCCCATTCTCCCAGTCCCCCAGGCCCTGGCCACTGTTAATCTACTTTCTGTCTCTATGGATTTGCCTATTCTGGGCATTTTATGTAAATGGAATCAGTCATACAAAATGGGGCCTTTTGTGTCTGACTTCTTTCACTTAGCACAATTTTTTGAATGTTCATCCATGTCGTTGCGTGTATCAGCACTTTATTCTGTTTTATGGCTGAATAATATTCCACTGTAACACTATACCATATTTTGTTTATCCATGCGTAATTGATGGCCATTTTGGTTGTTTCTAATTTTTGACAATTATGGATAATGCTGCTGTGAACATGCATGTACAAATTTTTGTGTGTCAATAAGTATTTAAGTCAACAAATAAATGGGTGAACAGATGAAGACTTAATGTTTCATCATATGTCCTCCGGCCAGCATATGAATTATAGCTTTTATTTCTTTTGGGCAGGTCTGGGTCGGATTGTCCAGGCTGAGGAATATCTATCCCAAGCCCAGTGGACAGTCCTCAAATCAACTGAATGCTGCTATGCCACCCACTCTTTATTACATCGGAACCTGGGACTTCTCTACATGGCTAAGGAAAACTATGAGGAAGCCCGTTATCATCTGGCCAATGATGTAAACAAGCTAAATGTTAATACCTCGATGTTTCTAAGAACAGCTCTGTTTAGTTTAGTTTTTGTTTTGTTTCTACAGAGCATTCCTCTAAAACTTTCTGTTTGCAAGTGACCACTTGGTGGGGTATTAGCAAGAACACAATTCTAACAACCTGAGTTCAAGCCTTTCCCCTTTCCTGGCTGCTCAACCTTGACATTTACATCACTTCCCCAAGCTCCAGTTGCTCTGAGGCTCATAAAAGGAGGCAGAGCAGCATACTGTTAGAAGAAAGCCTTTGTTTCGAGGCCAGCCGTATTGTTTTACTAGCCACATAGTCTTGGACAGATTATTTAACCGCTCTGAGCCTTCTTTCATCACCTGTCAACACCAGAGACAGAAATAATAAAATAGTCTCTGCCTCACTGGGTCATTGCAAAGATTAACAACAGGACAATACACATACAGCATGTTGACTGTTATTTTTATAAATAGCATCAGTGCCTACTTCAGAGTGTGGCTATTAAATTTAAATGAGATGATGTATATAAAAATGCTTTATAAACTATAAGACTCTATACAAATGTTAGATAGGATAATCAGGTTATGACTGGGCTGTTCTTCCAAAATTTATGAGATTTCTGTTAGGATTTCAGTATTGGACAACATTACCAGAGAGTAAGAGTTCCTGAGCCTGAAATCTGGATTAGGTTAAAGTTTAGAGCCTCCACTCAGGTCACTTCTCTCTTCAGCCACTTCACTGGTCAATTCTCCCACTGGTTTCCTGACAGTGCACAATGTCCGTAAATTCACCAGAAACATTCTTGTGCTGGTTCTTCTCCATGTCCTCTTGCCCCAGATCTATTCTCTGCCCTGCTCTGTACCCTGGGAGGCTGACCTCTATGGACTACACAACATGGACTCTCCTGGTTTTGGAGGGTAGGAGGCATGTCAGAGGAGTGGAGGTTGGGAAGAGAGAGAGGTCGGGGTATTTATTCTCTCTGCTCCCTTTTGGCCCCACTCCATTTCTGGCGATGGCAGTGTCCCTCTGTGGCCACAGCTCCTGTCAGGTGGCCCTCTTTCACAGTTGTAGCTCTTGCTGGGCCCTGGCAACCCCATTGTCTTCCCTTGCCCTTTCAGGAGTAGGGATGGTGTCATGGTTTGAATTATGTCCCCCAAAAAATGTATGTGTCAATTTGGCTAGGTCATGATTCCTGGTACTGTGTGATTTTCCTGTATGTTGTAAACCTACCTCTATGATGTAAATGAGGGAGGATGGGTAACAGTTGTGTTAGTAAGGCAGGACCTGATCTACAAGACTGGATTGTGTCCTGAGGCAATCTCTTGAGATATAAAAGACAGAAGTAAGCAGTGAGACAGGGGGACCTCATACCATCAAGAAAGCAGTGCCGGGAGCAGAGTACATCCTTTGGACCGGGGTCCCTGCGCAGAGAAGCTCCTAGTCCGGGGGAACACTGAAGAGAAGAAGGCCGACAGAGAGGAAAAAGCCTTCCCCTGGAGCTGACGCCCTGAATTTGGACTTTTAGCCTACTTTGACTGTGAGGAAATAAACTTCTCTTTGTTAAAACCATCCACTTGTGGTATTTCTGTTATAACAGCACTAGATGACTAAGACAGATGGTAATAGTTTCTTGCTGTTGACAGTCCTTAGCTGCTTCACTAGCTCTTGTTGGTTCTTTAACCCTTCCATGTCTTTGTAAATAATCCATTCATTAAACTATCTTCATGTAACCCTTTTGAGGGTGCCATCTTTTTATGCCTGGGAGCCTGACTAATACAATTCTTCACTTGTGTTTCCTCTCTGCACTCCATACCCTCCAACCAATGAGGCAGAGGTATATCCTGTCTTGAGCTAGGCCACACAGTTAAGAATTAGATCAAACTCAGATTCCTCAGCCTAGCTTTAAAATACAAAAACAGTTTTATGGATACATAGCATAAAATTCACCTGTTTTAAGTGTACAATTCAATGCTTTTTAGTAAATTTACAGAGTTGTACAACCATCAGCACAATCCAGTTCTGGAACATTTCCATTACCCCGGATATATCCCTTGTATCCATTTGCAGCCATTTCCCATTCTTACCCCTAGCCCCAGGCAACCACTTTCTGTCTTTAGAGATTTATTTTTTCTGGATATTCCATATAAGTGAAATCATACAATATGTGGTCTTTTGCATCTGGCTTCTTTCACTTAGCATAATTATTTTGAGAATCATCCATGTTGTTGAATATATCAATAGTTCATTCCTTTTATTGCTGAGTAGTATTCCATCATCTCAGAATACCATAGTCTGTTTATCATTCACTGGTTGATGGATATTTGGGTTGTTTCCACTTTTTGGCTGTTACGAATAATGCTGCAATGAACATTTTCATACAAGTGTTTGTGTGGACACATGCTTTTTTTTCTCGGGTGTATACCTAGGAGTGGAATTGCTGGATTGTATGGTAACTCCATGTTTAACTGTTTGAGAATCTGCCAAACTGCTTTCCAAAATGACTACACCATTTCACATTCCCACCAGCAATGGATAAGGGTTCCAGTTTCTCCACATCCTCACCAACACTTGTTATTTTCCATCTTTTTTATTTTGGCCATCCTAGTGTCTGTAAAGTCATGTCTCACTGTGGTTTTATTTTACATTTCCCTAGTGACTAACAATGTTGAGCATCGTTTCATATGCTTATTAGTCATTTGTATGTCTTCTTTGGAGAAATGTGTATTCAGATCCTTTGCCTTTTTTTTTTTTTTTTTTAATATTAGGCTGTTTTTCTTTTATTGAGTTGTAAAATTTCTTTATATACTGGATACAAGTCCTTTATCGGATCTGTGATTTGCGAAGGGAACTCAAGCACTCTCCTTCTTCCTTCTGCTTAGATATATTTTGCCAGTAGTGCATTTGGAACAGAGGATATCAGGACCTCAGGAGGCTACTTCCACTTGGCTAATGTCTTCCATAACCTTAACAAAGTGGATCTGGCAGACACGCTGTATACTAAGGTGAGTGAGGAATGTCGGAGCTTAACTTTGATACTTAGGCCCGGTATCTTACAACGAGTGTCAGACCATTCATGAGGAAATTGAGGCCCAGAGAGATGTAGTGACTTGCCCAAGGTCATACAGCTGATACATAGCATACTTCATTTCTCTGCCTTTCTGTTTCTCCACTACCAAAATAGACTAGTCCTGAGCATCCATAGAGTGATTAACAAGTAATGAATGATAGATCAGTAAAAACCAACCCCCTTCAAACAGACTGCCATGTTTGGCCGCACTCATAGGAACAAGTTAATGTGGGCATATTGGGGTGTGCGATGGGGAAGGAGAGGTTTTCAAGGGAAGTTCATTGTTGAAAGGTCTTGTCAAGGCGTCAGAGAACATGAGAGTACTTTAAAATTTCCATCTTTGCGTGTAAAAGATTTTAAACTATTTCTAAAATGTTAAAATGTCACTTATGTTCGTACAGTAACAGCTCATTTATCAGGAAGTCACTTAGCAAGTAGCCATTTCTATGTGTGATACAGACTCTTATGCTGTGACTGTTGAATCTGATTTTGGACCCATTTCTCAGGAAGAGGCATTATGGTATATCAACAACAGATCCGAGTTTAAATCCTGGCTGTGCCATTTACCAGTTCATGCCAGAAGTCAAGTGCGATCTTAACTCCTCTGAGGCTCAATTTATTTATCTACAAAATGGGAATAATAAGAATAGTTACCTTGGGTTGGGGTGTTGTGAGGCTGTGATTATGGTGGGCTTGTAAAAGTTTAGCATTGTATGTGCTCGCCAAGTGGCAGCCATTGTTATTTAACCCCGTCAGGGTTACCTCCAGATCCACCTGGCACATGCTCTTCGTAGCCCATGGCTTGTCACACTTATTTTGGCCAGGCCTGTTCTGGGCTCCTAAGGCTCCCTCAGCCTCCAGGCACAGTGAGAGATGGAGTCTCCAGACTGTCAGGAAGCCTGGCCAGGTGCACTGCTCTCTCCAACTGGCTGGTCCAGTGTCCCAGCTCTGGTCTGCTTGTCTGATGGCCATCTCCTTTCCCAACAGGTCACTGAGATCTGGTATAAATATTTGAATAATCATTACCAAGTCCTCTCACATTCTCGGCTCCAACAAATAGATTTACTGGGCAAAAAATTTGAGAACAACACTGGCTTGGGTAAGTGGCAGCTTTCCCTAGGAAGCAAAGCAGTGACTTCACCCACAAAACACACAGGCCTTGCCCATAAGAGGGAGGGCAGCTGTCCTTGTCACAAAGGGGACATCAGTGCCATCTTCCTCATTTTGCTGATGGGGAAAACTGGGACATGGAGATCAAAGAGATTTTACCAGTGTTGGCAGAATTCAGATCCCTAGCATCAGAAACAGCCTTTCAATGTGTCAACAAGGGAAAGATTTGGGGAAGAAAAAGACCCTGTCAGAGCTCCCTGTGATTTCTGCAGAGTATCCATTTCTTACATGTGTTATCCCCTCAGGTCAAGTAAGACAAGGTATGTGCTCTAAACAGATATGCAGTGTAGTTAGTGAGACAGAACCTATATGCAATAACAAAAGAAATTTTGTAGGAGTACAAATTATGTTACAAGATGAGTCCCAGAATGAAGAGGACAGTTGAATGACATTGAAGGAAGACTACTTGGAGGAAAGAAGATTTTGAGCTAAGATTTTTTAAAATAATAACTTCATTGGTGTTTCTCTCATTATAAAACTGGTTCATGTTAAAGCAGAAAACTTGTAAATCAAAGAAAAGCACAAAGGAAAAGAAATTTCACCCATAGATATCCAAAGATAGCCAACCTTAACAGTATGGTGTGTGTCCTTTTTTTTCCCTAAGTTTAAAACCAAACCAAACCCACTGCTGCTGAGTTCATTCTGACTCATAGTGACCCTATAGGACGGAGCAGAACTGCCCCACAGGGTTTTGAAGGCTGTAAATCTTTACGGAAGCAGACTGCCGCATCCTTCTCCAGCAGATCGGTTGGTGGGTTCCAACTGCTGACTTTCCAATTGGAAGCCAAGTGCTTAACCACTGCTCCACCAGGGCTCCTTTCTCTAAACTTAGTACTTATATCAGTGCTTTAAGTATCTGGCCCTTAATAACTGCTCAGTCATGGGTAACTGGAAACCCTGGTGGCATAGTGGTTAAGAGTTCAGCTGCTAACCAAAAGGTCAGCAGTTCAGATCTACCAGGTGATCCTTGGAAACCCTATAGGGCAGTTCTACTCTGTCCTATAGGGTCACTGTGAGTTGGAATCAACTCGACAGCAACGGGAATGGGTAACTAAAATAGGAACAAAAACTGCTGGGGGAAATAGTAAACAGATTCACACGGGAAGCAGAAAGGCTTTTGCTTAAGCATCCTTGGAGTCCCTGGCTTATGCAAATGGTTAATACACTCAGTTGCTAACCAAAAGTTTGGCAGTTTGAATTCACCCAGAGGCACTCGGAAGAATCTACTTCTGGAAAATCAGCCACTGAAAACCAGTGGAGCACAGTTCTGAAATGACACACATGGGGTCACCATGAGTCAGAATCAACTCCGTAGCAACTGGTACTGGTACTGGTAAGCATCTTTGTATTTGGGGAGAAGAATTAAGCTGCCACACCTACTAGCAGCCCCAGCTCCATTTTCTCAGCTATAGAATGCAGGCAGAAGAATAGGACTAAGGAATCCTGCTGTGGCAAGTTCCCTGTATTGGGGAGCCTAAGAGATCTAGAGTTCAGGACTCTGAAAAAGAGAAGCCTTAGCAACTTTGAGACCTGTGGGAGTGAGCATGTTCTTAGATTACTCTGATAACGACATGCCAGGCAAAGCTGAAGAGCTGCCGTAATCTGCCCAGCTTCCTGCTCTGCCTGTGGAGGCAGTCCTCCAGGTGAAGAGCTCGCTGTGGCTGTGCTGTCTCCACCAGCGCCTCTGGAATGAGGCTTTGGCAGGAGACCAGGCACCCTCACAGCTGTGTACCTGCTGATGAGGGCAGACACAGCCTCCCAGGGCCTGTTTCTTCCCCTCCTTTCCAACACAGATGAAGCCCATGAAGCAGAAGCCATTCGGATCCTGACGTCAACCTTGAGCATTCGAGAATCTACGTCTGACAGAGACCCAGAAAAAACTGTCTTTGTTCTGAAAACTCTGGTCTTGCTTTACTACCTGATGATGAATTATTCAAAGGCAAGTTTCCTTAGAAAAGCAGCATGTCTAAAATAGAGATAAAAATTCCTCCAGTTGAAATGAGCTATGTTTTGCCCAATTCCACGAGCTTTTGCCCTCAGAGCAAGTCCTCACTCCAAAAAAGTTCCGATGCTCATGACATTTCTCATTTAGTTGAGTCCACCCTGCATAATGGAAACAGGATTGTCTTCTTCCCTCAAAGGGGCCATCCCCAGGTAGCATAGGGAAACTGAGGGTAGGGCAGTGCCTGGAAGCCTGCAGGGCAGGAGGACTCTGGGAAGGCCTCAGAAGAATGGAGTGGTAGCTCTGTCTACACTCAGTGAGTTCCCTGTTGCTGGAGGGGTTCAGGCAGAAATTATTTGCCATGAAAAGATTAGAAAGGTAACCATTTTTTAGAGTGCCCATTTCATACTGGTCTTTACATGAATTATCATGTTTAATTCTCATACGAACCTTTTGAGGTAGTCACTTTATTATCGCCAATTTACAGATAAGGAAACTGAGGTTCAGAAATGGTCAATTATTTGCCCAGTGTCTCACAGAAATCAAGTGGCAAATCTCAGACCGATTGATTGATATCATTTGTTCATTCAGATATTTATTGAGCACCTACCACCGTTCTGGGGACTTGGAGATTGAGTGGTGAACCAGATAACTTTTCTATCTTCACGGAGCTTGTGTTCTTTGGAGGATGGGAAGTCACAATAAACAAGCAAACATATAAATATGTAATAATTTCAGATAGTGAAAAGTGCTATAAAAAGCAGGCAAGGGGGGAGAGAGTGAGGCTAGTTAGAGGAGGCCTTTTTGTGTGGGTGATATGGGAAAATTTTAGGTTCCCTCTCTCGTTCCTCTCTCTCTCTTTCTTCCTTCAGCAAGCTTTTACTAAGCACCTACTGTATACCAGAGCCGGCTCTGAGGAGCTTATAGTCAATGGGCTATAATAGAGTGTGATGGTGAAGCTCAGGGCTCTGAGGAAGCACAGAGGCGGGACACGGACGCTGCCTGGGGTAGGGCTAGGAGTGGTCAGGGAAGAGGGAAACATTTCCACTGAATATTCAAGTTTACATTAGACAAAAACATCTTTTCTACAGTGTAGAATCCAATTTTCACTGTATACTCAAGGAAGTCATTATCCCAAGGCATGTTAGGGTATCAGATCTACAAGAGGCCTTAAGTGGAAGGGACACATTTATAACTCAAAAGTCTTTATTAGGCTATCTTCTTTTCAGTGAAGCCTTCCCTGAGCCCCTTGTCTAAAATTGCAAAACCTCACTACCACCACTGACACTTCTATCCCCCTTTCTTGCTTTTTTTCCCCCCTTAGCACTTATTATTTCAGGTACTATCATGTTTTACTTATTATCTTGTTTATTATCTCTCTCCCCTACTAGATTGTAAGTTTCATGAGGGCAGGAGTTTTCTGTCTGTAGTCACAATACTTGGAACACAGTAGCCATTCAGTAAATATTTATAAGAAGGAAGGAAGGAAATAGAAAGGGGTGGGGGGAGAACCAGAGTCCATTCCAAGATGTCCTGTGGAGCCTCTGTCCAAGTCAAAACCCTGGACTATGTGGCCCCAGGACTGCTCCAGGATGTAATTTTATTTGTAGCACATATCACCTCTATGCCTCCCAATGTTGGTCCAAAGGGCCATAATTAAAATCCTGCGAAGATCCCACTTTGCTAGGAAGGCATACTTAGTTTGTCCCTAGTTAATCAAGTCAAATGCGTTTTTCTGGTGTCCACTGCCCCACCCAGCACACATTCGGCCAGCTATAAGGGCCCAGTGTGTGCTCACAAGTTTGCTATCAAGAAACAAAGTTTAGCAGGAGCTCAGTGGCTAGGATGAGAAGCTGGTGGATCCTCTCCCATGTTTCTGGGGTTGCGCATAGATGGGGCTTCTTAACGTTATGCTTTCCTGTGACAACCTCCTTTTGTCATTGAAATTCTATTTCAGGCCCAGGAATATGCCATGGAAGCCTTCATCCTAGCTAAAGAAAAGCTTAGTGTCCACGAACAAAGCACCATTCAAGAGTTATTAAATCTCATCTCAGCCGAAGAATCTCATCCTGAGTGACTCATGAGCTCCACGTCAGGAGCTATAGAAGGGGCTATTGAAAGTCTTATATACCCCAGCTTTACACACTACTTTGAGGTACTATGGATTGCTGAAATTTCCACCTTCTTCCCCTAGACCTACACACATACCTGTGATTTTATTGTTACAGAGCATATGTGAGGACAAGTAGGCATAGAAAGGCATAGAAATTAGTAAAACTAACTTTGTGGTGCTGAAATGTTTGTTGTTTATCATGACCTTTGTACTTAGTATCATTACTCGACTTTGAATAATATGCTGTTAGATCACAAATATGGTAATGGTACTTAAACTGCAAATAATTAGTCATATCTCACAGAAGTTTCCCAGTGATGCATGTTTCATAGGTCTTTGCCAAAGAAGGAGGTAAGGAATGGAGCTATATTGAAGCAACGTTTCTCTATTCTGCTGGAATTAAATTAGCATTAATCTAAAGTAGATTGCGATTTTTAAAAAGGCCCGTTATAATTCTTAGAGCAATCACTAAGAAAATAACTCCAAAAATAGTTTAAAATCAAAGAATTAAGATGGTACACTAGGAAGTATCCACTTAATACAGATCATACCAAAAAACCAAACCTGTTGCCGTTGAGTCAATTCTGACTCATTGAGACCCTATAGGACAGAGTAGAACTGCCCCATAGAGCTTCCAAGGAGCAGCTGGTGGATTCGAACTGCCGACCTGTTGGTTAGCAGGCGAGCTCTTAATCGCTGTGTCACCAGGCTTCCATCTTAATACAAAAGATGCCAGTAAAAGAGGAACCATGGAACAAAAAGGACATGAGACATAGGAAAAAAACAAGAGCAAAATTGCAGACATGAGTAATGGGGTCTTTGCTGGAAAAGGGCCCTGGGCCTCACAAGGGGTCTGGGTATGGACTGGCTGAGATACCATTCCAGGCTGATGTCTTTCTTTTCTCAGTGATTTGAAGCAGCCATGAGCCGCCTATACTGACTAGGGGAGAAAGACTCTGAAAGGTGATATGGTGCAGGGGACAGAGTACAGGACTTGGAGTCAGATACAAGTAGGTTCAAATCCCAACTCCCTCTAACATAATAAATTTGTGATCTTGATCCCCCCATATCCTTATTCATCATTGTTGTAAAATGTCCCAGATATGGCCACAGCTGTATCAACTCCTCCCATTGTGATGACTCTGGTCGTTTTTATCTCCCTTAGCTCCTTTCCAGACTCACCAAGCAGCCTGCCAATTAGCACTTGGCTTCCTGAGTAAATCTGCACCCAGGGAGAGAATATGCATGTCAAGGGCCTGTGGGAGACTTTTATATTCCATACTGTAAATCAGTTAGCTCAGATGCAATAAAAATGTCAGATTGGGTCCCCTGTCTCTTCAACTCTTGGTAAAATCAGCTGGAAATCCCCTTCCACACATTTGGACATTGTAATGTTACCGCAAATTGTGGATCCGAGCCACCTGCCGCAAAAACCAATACTGAGACAGGTGAGGTGAGCAGCAAGAGGGTTTTATTGTATATTGATATACAGGAGACAGAGGGGAATGAGCTCCTCCAAAAGACCGGTCTCCCCGACTGGAGACTGGCTGAAAGTTTTATATGAACAGGATTATAGTTTCTCTTCAAGGGTGGTTACATTCTGCACGTCCCAGATGATCTAACTTCTTACTGGCAATCCTTGAAAGTTATCTGGCACTGTTAGTCATGATTGTCACATCACAGATGAGTTAATCCTAGTCCTTGAGGGTTATCAATGTGTTCTGCCACCCTCCAAGGAGAAACTTTAATCAGTCTTACTGGAATAGGAGGAGGGAGAAAGAAGAAGGAAAAAGAGAAACTATCATGAGGAAAAGCGGGGGCTAGTAATGGTGGGAAGCAATGCTGGTAATTGAGCTTATGCAGCCTGTTCCAGTAACACTTCTCCAAGATGACTATGAAGTCACTGGGGCTTACTTTTCCTCCAGTCATCTCTCACCCCAGTGTTCAGCTTCAATTGAATCCTCACTTGTCACTCTGCATCTTGGGGCTGTTTCTTCATCTTAGGTACACAGCTCCTTCTTGATTCTCACCCCTCAACCCAAAATATGAAGCAACTCTTCGAACAGATATACTCTTAATGAAGATTGGGGGGGGCGAGTATCAATGACTTTTCAGCAGATAATTTAAAAGAGAATATTAGAACTTCTCTATTTGAAACTAAGTCCTTAAAAGTTTTTTTTTTCCCTCTTCTTTTAAAAGGTATTGTTGAAGTTTATTTTGTCAGGCAGTTCAGTTAACTTGCGGATCAGTTGGATTCAAGGCTTGTTTTTAAGCTTTATAGGGTGAATTTACAGTACTTTTACTCTCTGGCTATGGTTCCTAAAGTGAGGTTCGGGGATCCCTGGAGCTCAGGGGGTTCAGAAGGTCCTTCCTTTTCCAACTACATATTTGTGTAGGGCCAGATTTTCTTCATATACTTTTCACCTAAACAATGTATCAACAGTTTGAATGCACAATCAGATATGAAAATCCAGCTGTCTTCTCTTAAACCAGACATTAAATAAATTTGTGAATAATGTAAAACAGTGCTATTCTTCTCACTAAACTTTTGTTTGGGGAAATATAGTTATTTTAGTATAGAAATATGTTACTTATACTAATGTGCAGTAGGTTTACTATTTTTTTTTAAATAAATCAATAAGTATTTAAAAATTTCTAAGTTTATTTTCTGATATGGTAACTATTGATAGCTATGACCCACATCAAAAAAAGCTCTTTGGGGGTCCTCAGCAATTTTTAAGAGTGTCAAGGGCCGGTAGACCAAAAAGTAAGAACCGCTGCTCTAGATTTAACTCTTCTGTGATCTCTACTGGTTGCTTCAAGTGTTCAGTGAGATTTCTTTAACCTTACTGGATGGAATTAGAATGTTTGTTAGTGTTTTGTGAGTTAGAAAATTGTTCAGCTTATACCTCCCTGGCAGTTGTTCTCTGTTCAGCTTCATGAAATCTCACCCTATGCAGGTACAGATTAGCATTCAGCCAAACCTAAAGGGGATTCGTATGCAGATTTCTGGAACATTTTTTCTGTTTATCTCCTGTTGACTGGTACTCTGCCTTGCATGTTTCAGCTGCTTCAACTTCCCCAAACTCTGGTTGTCAACTTAGCAAGACTTTCATATTCTGCTTGGGTTCCCCTTCCCAGTGCCATGTCCCAAAAAGTGCCTCAAGATAGAAAGCAAAGATGATCCCTTCTCTCACAGGTTACAGTCCTTCACCACCTATTATCCCAATGTCTAAAAACAGTTGCTTCATACAACTAGTCCAGTTTTGTAGTTGTTTACAGTGGGAAGGAAAGTTCTGTACCAGTTTCTCCTTGATGGCCAGAAATGGAAGTTTCAGATTGATTTTGATACACTGATGTTTGTGTTTAGCAACCTTCTTTGCTAAACTCTCTTATTAATTCTAATAATTTAGCTGTAAATTTAAAAAAGTTCTATATACACTATCATATAGTTTGTGAATAATAATAATCATTTCATTTCTTATTTTTAAATTACATTTCTTGCTTACTACACTAGCTAAGACCTTCAGTACAATGTTGATTAGAAATAATGATGGTGGTAATCCTTGTCTTTTTCCTGATCTCAAGGGGAAAGCTTTCAATATTTCAACATTTAGTCTGATGTTTGCGCTAGGATTTTTGTAGATATTCTTAATCAGGTTAAAGAAGTTATGTTTAGTTTGCTAATGAGTAGTTTTATCAAATTAATTTTCTGTATATATTGAAATATGATTTTATTCCTTTCATCTGCTTATGTGAATTATATTACTTTATTTTCACTCCTGGGATGTGCTTAACTTGATCATGCTGCGTTATCAGTATATTGCTGGTTTTGGTTTGCTAAGATGTTATTTAGTATTTTGAGATCCATGTTCATGAGACTAGCCTATAGTTTTCCTTTCACATACTGTCCTTCTTGGGTTTGGGTATCAAAGTTATGATAACTTCATAAAATTTAATGGTGAATATCCTCTTCTTTGTATACTATATAAAAGAGTTTATGTGAGTTTGGAATTATTTCTTCTTAAATATTTCGTAGAATTTGCTGGTGAAACCATCTGGGACTGGAGTTTTCTTTAGGGAATTTTTTTTTTTTTTAATTGTACTTTAAGTGAAAGTTTATAATTCAAGTTAGTCTCTCATACAAACCTAGTTGTTCTCCCTATACTGTGACAGCACACTCCTCCTTTCCACCCCAGATTTCCCGTGTCCATTCAACCAGCTCCGACCCTCTCTACCTTCTCATCTCACCTCCAGACAGAAGCTGCTTTAGGGAAACATTTTGACTGCAAATTAAATTCACTTAATGCTTATAGCATTATTCATGTTTTCTGTTTCTTCTTGAGTCAGCTTAAATAATTTATATTTTTCTAGGAGTTTGTCCTTTTTTTCTAAATATTCATATTTGTTGGCAAAAACATTCATTTAGTCTTTTGTTATTTTTCTCATCTGAAGCATTTATAGTGCTGGTTATTTGTGTTATATAGCCATTTTTCTTGGTCAGTCTTACCACAGGTTTGTCAATCCATTATTTCTGTCTTTGCTGACCCATCCAAATATATGTTTATTTTCTACTTTATTAATTTTTTACTGTTATATTTATTATTTTCTTACTTCTGTGTTTTTTGGGTTTGCTCTTTTAACTTCTTTTGATGGATATTTAGTGTTTTAATATTCAGTCTTTTTGCTTTTCTAATAGTTACACTTAAGGCTAAAAATTTTCCTCTAAATACTTTAGTTGCGTCCTATGTATTTTTATTATCATTTTGTTCTAAATAGTTCTTAATTTTTTAAGACTTGAGTTATTTAGAAGTACTTTTAATTTCTAAAAGAAAGTGATTAAATTACTTCTTTGTTATTGATTTCTAGTGTAATTTTTTTGAGATCCTAGAATATGCTGTGTAGAATCTTGATTTTTTGGAATTGGTTGAGATTTACTTTCTGTGCCAGGATATAGTCAATATTTGTAAATGTTCTGTGTGTGGTAGAAAATTATGAGTACTCTGCAGTGCTCTCTATATGTCCACCAAGTTTATTCATCACATTTTTCAAATCTTACATATCCTTGCTATATCTGTATGTGTGTATATATATATATATGTGTATTTCAGTCTACTTCTGAGAAAGGTATGAAGAACCTCCAAATATAATTGTGGAGTTATCTATTTTTCTTCGTGGTTTTGTTAATTTTTACTTTATATATTTCGAGTCCATATTATTAGACATGTACAAATTTAAATATTATATTTTCCTAGTGAGTGGAATATTTATTTTTATATTATGAAGTGATTATCTTTATCTCTAGTAATACTTTTGACCCTTAAAGTCTAATTTGGTCTATATTAGTATAGCTATACCCATTTCCTTTGGGTTGGTATTTGCATGGTATGCTGGATTGCCAGTTATCGACTAGGCATCATTATAATTCCCTTCAGTGTTTATCTCTGCTTTGAAGGGGAAGCTTGAAACTGCAGTTCCTAGTATTCCTTTCTTTTTAAGAGTCTGGATTAAATTCTGCCAACGAGGGGCAACTGCATCACTAACTGTGGTGGTAGCCAGGCACGAT